AAAATAGTAGGTAGCTAATTAACGAAATTATGATTAAATAACTTAATTGTAACACCGCTGCAGAATATCATATGAAACTACATAGATATTCGTTGATTCTTTAAAAACATTTTTATCAATTCCTACATCATACATTTAAGTAAATACAGTAACGCAAAAAACAGATATTGATAAGAAAGTGTACAAAAGAAATCCGTAAGCACGCCTGGCAACATTACCAAAGTCTTGTTTATATGTTGCTAGGATACGAGTAGGTATGCGGGGCGCTGCATTTGATTCTTCCTAAAATTCTGCTGGTGGTGTACTCTACCGGCAATTCGGAAATTTAAAACTGCCGGCCTATTCCAGTAGCGGTCTGTGGCAATAGCTATTTTGTCTGTGATATTACTTTAAAATATATCTAAAAGTATTTATTTTAACCAAAAATGTTTAGGATTTTTCTGTTTCAAATACTATTTTCGATATAGTAAACCATCTAAAGTCCAAAAATGGTATTGATGTCAAAATTTCAATTCTTTTTTCTATTTTTCAGAAATTAAAAATTTATAAAGCAATAATTTTTTATTGGACTTTATAAAATTATTACTTTTAGAGATATTTGAAATTGATTCTATATAAAAAGCATATACTTACGAAAAATAAAGAAAGAAATAACCCCAATATGGGTCGTTTTCCGAATAAAGTGAAAGATCCCTTTTTTCTTAGAAACCAACCAACAAATGCACTTCTCCAAGATCTAAAGTACTTAATGGCGTCGAAATTCAAATATTCTTAACAACAGTGCCTCCCAATATCCCTGCCATTGCTTGACATGTTAATAAATAGTAAATTATTAGTCCAGGTTTGATCATCCTAACTCATATGAAAATCTTCAAACACATTTGAATATGATTTGATTATTTAAACTTCAACAGCTTCTATCTTGGAAACTAAGTATTTCCCGACAAATATGTCAGAACATGTTTTCTTATTTTAAGGAGTTTAAGGAACTGTACGTTCAAGACTTCAACTACTAAGAAGCAAATTGCTCGTTTCAGCTTGACATATTTTAATTTAAAAAAATAATCTTTTTGAAATACTTTATTCTCATTTTTATTATTTCCGAAATAATTTTGTTAAAAATTTAGCCTTAGATAAATCATTATGATAAATAATATGTGATTAATTTTAATTTTGTTATGCCAAAATATATATTTGACGAATCTATGCTAAATACTTTGAGTGAATGAGCACTCCGGTTCATGAGTATTCAATCTGGAGATATTGCCTACCACCGGACAACCATTAATGTTGAACTGGCAAGGTATTTTCACATCGTCGGCCGCCTCCTCCAGAGTGTAAATTCTTGGTCCATCAAGAGATGCCTGACACGTAGGGCATTTCTCCATTTTCGATTTACACTCCTTGCAAATGGTGTGGCCACTGACACACGAAAAAATTGGAGCTACCATGTAGGTCACGCAGTACGGACACATTAGCGCTTTCCTGATGACCTCCACATTTGACTGTCGATAATCTTCTTGATCTGGATCAGTTATGAATGTTAGGTACAACCTACAAGAAAATATATTCACTTTTTAGAAACTATAGCTACAACAATGTTCTTATAGCAAAATAACATTTGCATTAATAAAATGTAAGTAACGTTTATTTATATATACTGTACCAGATCCATGTATCATAATAACTATCAAAGGCATTGGTTAGTTTATTGTTAAGCTTGTTGCAGAAATCATTTATATCAATATTGTTTATGTTATTGTTGTATGGAATCACTAGTAGATTCTCGAAAGAAAAAGCAAAAATATCGTCTTGTTCGAGTTTCAGCTTGACGTTGAACTTAGAGTATCTGCTGAGTCTAGTACTCAAAACAGCTATTCTATCCCATTTCTTAATGTAAAAAAAAAAGTACTGATCGTCTACTTTCACAAAATATATATAGTCGTAATTATTACAGATCTTCCAACCATATGCTGTGTTGACTTCTTTTATATTCGCCTTGTGTTTATCGGTAAGATGTTCTTCAAGATGATCTACTAATATCCCATCGAAACATGTACAGTCGTCGGATAAGGGGCACTGTACAGTCTTGTAACGACACGATCCTTCATGTTCCTTTACATTATGCCACCACGGTAATATTTCCGTGCATGGAGGATAGGAACAAGGAAAACTCAAGTTCTGAGCCAATTCTTCGAAAAGATTATTCCGAATCCAACTGTACTTTTCGCAATTAATCTTCTGACACCTGCCGCATTTATACTGTTCATTGTCATTGTTAAGACGTGCAATCATGATAGGTGGGACGCACAAAAGGCAGCCGCAGACTGAACATTTGTACTTTCTTAAGACTTCAGACAATATGTTCTACATCCCAGTGCGATATTGACGAAGTCTGATTCTGGAAATATTCACAAAGGTATGAGCATGAATTATTCTTATAGGAAAATAGGAAATACGTTTTCTATTGATATCAAAATTGATGAACGTGTACCTAATACGAATTTAAAATAATTTCTTACATAAGTTTCCCTGAGAACTAACGGATTTTTTGTTAAATATAAAAATTCTACGTGTGTAAAAATTTGTGTGCACGATGCATTAATAAAATAGCATTCCATATAAAAAATTATGTATCTACTGAAATCAGTGGCCAGTGGCTTAGATATAAGGTATTTTGGTTACCTATATTTTCCTCAAAATTAATGATTCGCCACTGGAAACAAAAAGTTTTTTTTATTTTAGTTTTAAAATATTAGTCTAATCGGTCGATAGCCGCACGGGTTAAAGCGTCAGTACTTAAATCGTGTGCAAATTTCTGCCCGGGTTCGATTCCCGCGGCCGGTAGACCGTAGATTAGCTATGCTTGCACGGAGGATTGGCACCCTCTGTGCAGGTATGGTAGGGTGCAAGAATGTTGGCTTGGGTCAATGTGAGATATTGACACCGGTTGGCATTTGACCACCCCCCTAATTAATGAAGTTTTCCAGGTTTCCCTCATGGTGGTTAGGGCCTACCAACATAAGTCGTTCCTGGGCGCAAATGCGGCCTGCCTAATAATAATATGCCGCCTCCTCTCCCGCACAAGTCTCCGACTTCTGGGCTAATTCTCGTAGTTAGAATGAGGAGTAGAGATATTATTATTATTATTATTATCTCTACTCCTCATTCCTGCGCTGAATGGTGGTTAGGGCCTATCAACATAAGTCGTTCCTGGGCGCAAATGCGGCCT